GTTCGTTCGCTCCGACGATTTGCCCTCAAAACTCATTGGTCGTGGCAAAAGGGAAATGAGCCCCGGCTCTCTTTCGTTTACCTCCATCGTTCGTCTTTTCGCCCACCCTCGTAACAGCTATCTTCCGAGACACTCGCGTTAATTCGCCGCCGTTGTACGATTCCTTGTACCACGATTTGGGGTATAATTGTCAGATCTACAAGGCTCCATAACATCTTTCGCGTATATTTATCAAGTATCACCGTAGATACATAGAGCTGGAAATTAGTAATAAACTTTAGAAACGAATAAATTCTTGTACGCTGTCATAACAGTCGTTAAATATTTAATCTATTCTGAGAAAAAATTTCGAAATATAAAATAATCAAAAATTCATCCATCATCGATACAATATGAACGTGATCGATCTTGAACATTGCGCTCTCAAATTGAAATTATCAAATATTTATAAAATTTCCTTTACCCCAAGGAACCGAAAATCTTCTCGATATCGAAATAAAACTTTAACGATACGTACTTACAATTTTTATACCGCTATTAAATACTTTTATCGGATCACGCGTTACGAAAAGAACATTAAACACGGCTAAAGTATCGAGATTCATTTAGCTTTTGTTTCTTGATAACATCGACGAGTCCAATTTCGTTTTACCGTTCTCCCTCACTCTCACGCGGTTACCGTAGCCATCAAATTTCCCTGCAAAGCCGAAACAGCCTTCACAGAAAGAAGCGGAACAAGAATGAATCAAATTACACAGGCACGCAGGTGGATTAAAACGCTAAAGAGGAAAGAATTTCCATTGGCCTGAAAAAATGACATTAGCGAAATCCCCGTCGGTCCTTTTCGTTTTCACCCTTCCCCCTCTTCCTTCTCTCGTCGCGATTCTTTGTTTCTGCCAGTATACGCTCTTCCTTCTTTCGTTTCTCTATCCTCCTTCGTCATTCTCATTTCCCTTGGCCGTTTCGTTTCGGTGCGCTCGTTTTATTTCACCCGCTTCTCGTTCAATGATCCTCCAGCTCCCTTCCGACCTTTTCGAATTAACGTTTCACCACGAATCCGCAAATAAATTTCGCGAACCACTATTACCGGTCCGGCCAGGGCAAGGAAGTAAATCTCCGGATAAGAGAAACCGACCACCGTCGTGGTTATCATTGAAGAATTTATGTGATTTCGAACGTCCATTAACTAGTTTCGTATCGGTGGACAGTTAACCGAGAATAGAAATTGAAATCAAGCCGCGAGTGAATCGACTGAATCGATATAGATGAGTGTTCTCGAAATAGGATACATGAATCATCCTGATGGTATCCTGATCTTTAATTATTTCGAAGGGAACGTTCTCGATGGTGAAGCACTCGAGCTTTTCTCTTTGCCAAAAACAACGTGGAAATAGACGTTAAAGATAGTATTCGAATTTATTTGCGCTCCGGGAAGATTTAAAGCTTGGAAATTTTAAAGACAGTCTTGAGGGTTCTAGAGTTTCCAATGCTCCAGATTCTCATTGTGAGCGGGGTCAAAGACTTGATGTTAGATTCAAGATTTCGATTGGGTGTAAGGTTTCCATCGGATTTTCAAATTCAATAGGCGATTCATGAATTCGATTGGAATTGAATATTCAGTTGAGTACAAGGGCCTGATGAAACATAAAGAAATAGAAATAGTTCGATTGAAATTAAACGAAATATATTACATTGGATATAAAGATCCAGTCGAGTGGCATTTCAGAAAATTTTATATTGTATCGGTTTTTATATTTTGTAGTTCTTACGTTGCACGTTATAAACTCGAGTAAATACCGTAGGCATTGTTATTTCGCTAATGAAAGTAAAATTTATCTGTCAATCTATGTATTGCTTTAATATTTGTATTGCGCTAAGTAGGTTAATTTATCGCATCACGCTAAAAATAGGATAGTAACAGAGAAGGAAAGAGAACAGAGGAGAAGTAGAAAAGATGGGTCCACGAGAAGAATAAGACGGAAAGTAAGAGAAGAGAAACGAAGAATTATAGAATTTAGTAGTAACCAAGGGTACAGTGCATTCAGGTCGAATGTTGGGCAACGTACGCAAATAGAATGCGAAATGTTAATTACGCCGTTCGTACTGTGCTTTATTAAATTCCGTTTCAGTTATTAGAGTTTGCAGAAAGTTCTGGAAATGCTTGAGACACGATACTGTTTCGTTAATGCGATACAGGAACGTAGAAAGGACGATCAATGAGTACACTTTAAAACCATTTTCATCCTCTCTTCAACAAACTTCCGATATTGTATTAGTCAGTGTTTCAATTGAATATGTATTGAAACCATAGGAAAATTGTGTTTTCAGTTTCTTGGTATCTCGTCTAATCCCCAAGCTGCTTTAACTCGTGTTAAAAATTTCGTTTACGTTTTTTACCTTTCATCTTTTTCACGTAGATTTCACGTTCATTGCTTTTTATAAAATATTTTACCTACTAACTTGGTTGTTTTTCAATTTTGTGTTCAATATTGGAACAAATAGGTCTACAATAATACAGTGTATCTTCTCTTAATCAGATCGTGTAATCGTTAATTTCAAAATAAATTTAATTTGATATTATGATATTATTTGATGAATAATTAATAATAAAAAATAATCATCGATCACTATTATCGACCAAATTAAGGGTCAATACAGAAATTAAACAAATTCTGAGAAAGGGGACGATCGATATACTTGAAGTTTCTGTAAAAGTATCAAATTTCGCTGTTCCAAAATTCCCAGTTCTGTTTCCTTTTAGCCGAACCTTTGTTGGGTTGGAAGCGTCTAAAACTTGTGCGAGCAGAAGACAGCGGCGTTCAATTACGAAGTACAAAGGCTTGGTCGATGTCGTCCGTTGTTCTTGGTCGGCCGTGCGTTTGTTTGTCTTCGATGAGTCCGTCTGGGGCGGATCTCCATTGTTCTTCACGGATTGGGTCTTTCGTAGGGATTAATGAGACTGGTTCTTGGTTTCTCAGACATCCGATTGAGAACCTATTTTAATAAGTTAATGATTCTACTCCCGAATTTTGTTGAATTTACCCTAATTAGTCCTCGTAGGGTTGAACACTTTCTAAATCCATTATTCGATCGACTATTCTATGAAAACAAAATTATCCGAAATCACATGAACTGTTTTTGTCTTCTACGAAGAATTTTTCCAAACAACTCTATTCAAATTACTATTCTGATGTTTTCTTGTTCTTATAAGTAGAATAAAGAAATTCAGATATACAGTCACCCATAAAAGTCCTCGTACACCAGAAAGGCTATTTCTATTTAAATAAAGCATACGTAACACGATAACATATTTACTTTCTAACATAGATATAAAGCAATAATAAAATAGCTTTTAGACGTCATGGCATAAAACAAACCACCTTTGGACTGAATTTTTGTGACATTTTAGTTTAATAGAAGTAGACTATAAAACATTCCTTTTTATAGAGTATACAAATATTTTTGACGATGAATTGGTGCAATGAACTTTTGGCTCAGTTATATTCAAAGGGCGAAAAATATTCTTCAAATTGCGAAGTGATTATTGACGCAAGTTCAAGGATGAGAATTTTCGGGCATCTTTTTAAATAACACTAAAGTTTCCGACACATTCGGTTGGTACGCGTAAAGCCCGACCTTTACAGCCTTTCAACTTTTTTACAACGGCTGCTTTACGTGCTTGTCCCGAAAATGTTGGTAGTGGCTACTTTACTTAGGTATCCTGTGTCTCAAGCATCCACAATTTGCGCTCGAGGAGTACGAAAACAGTGCACATAGCCGAACGAGTATGTATACAGTAATCTGCATATAGGGTGTGTTGTTAACTGACAAATTTCGTTTTCAAGCTTCCTAATTACAATTCATTTAATACATTTGGTAAATTAAAACAATCTTCCGCCAGTTTGAAATAAACAGAATTAAATGGAACGCCAACAGCGCGCAGCAAAGAATTTCTCATTTAAATAATTACGAAATCTGCTGCAATTAACCTTTGACAAAGTGTACTTACATTTTATTTTCATATCTTTTCATTTCTTTCATTTGTTTGATATACTTCCAGGTTTATTACTACCGCTTTATGACATCGTCTTCTTCCTTGTTCTCGAAATTGCCTGTGAAGTGTACTATTTTAGAGTTTGGAGCGGTGCCACGTATCTTTTTATTTCTATTATACCATTTCTTATCTCGTCGTTTTCATTTTATAACTTCAGTCTTTCCCTTAGAATTTTAAGCTTTTTCTTTTTCTTGTTTCTTTTTTTACTCTTGTATAATTTCATTTTTAATTATCACAGTTCCAGGCGTACTTTCATGTAAGAATACATTTCTGTGAAAGATCTTATCTTAAAAGACATGCGATAGGAGACACGAAGCAGAGTTAACTATATAATAAAGTGCTATTATTTCTGGTTAAGAAATCCAAACCAGGATTCGCGTATTTGACCAGAGCAGCAAGTAAACCATCCTGTATACCTTGCGGACTGTGTGAGTATCTTTGAATGTTTATTCGTACACAAACAGCAAGTATGAACACCTGATCTCGAAGGTCGGGGTGTCTGCGGTTCAGCCAAAACCGAAATTACGGGGTTAATGGAAGTCTGGACGTGGTTCGCCTCCTTCCAAGGAAACGGAAAACGGAGCTGGAAAGGTATTTCACTCTCCCTCTTGTTGTAGAAAAAGACCAGGCTGCCCTTTGCCGGTGAAATAACCGGCTCTTCCTATCTTTTGGTCTCAGACTACCTTCATTTTCGGAACAAATGCGCGCAATTACTTGCTACTTTGCCCTACGCCTTCGTCATTAGAGATAAATAAGAAATCGGACTGCATTAAAGCCGAAACCGGAAGATCGTAAAAGGAAAAGCTCGCTTGCTTCGTTTGTCCATATGAAAGAAAAATCGTTATTTATTAGATAATTTTTATATGCAATTTTATATTCCGCGTAAAATAAATTTTCATAAATGGAATAAGGTTAAACAGTAGAAAATAAAAATACGAAACGGGAAGTAGAAAAGAGAAGAAGTTTACTTTTAATTTGTCGATCGGACACTTATATTCCTGTTAAAAGATCTACCACATAAGCTCGCTTCCTGGAGAAACTTGTTTTAATGCAGCTACATGATAACTGTACATCAAGTGAGCATGATGCTTTTCAACGAATATTCAGGTTTGATATCGAAAGTTGCGATAGTACCGTCGTTGAAGGGCAAAGAAATGCTACCGTCTATCACCAAGCCAGCGTCAAAGCCACAGGATTTCACAGTAAGCTTGTTGCACTTTTGTCTGTCCGGGCAACATTTCTGGTTCTTGCACCGTGTAGTATGATACATTTCGCGGATCATGTATACCATGTTCAAATCCTCTGAAAAAGCATCCGCACTAAAAACGTTTTCTCAGAGCAAGCAAATTCAAGACAAAAGGTTCTATTATCATTTCTTCTACTTTATCTTATCATTTCTTATATTATCAGATTTTACCAAAGTGAGTTATAATTGTAAATTCTTCATTCACTAACCGAAACGTTATTATCGTAGCTACTATTTACTTGATCGTAGTTACTGACGGTGAACAATTCAGTTACCTGGAGAATAGATGAGAGCTTGATGATATTTGTGGAGTAATTCGTTGGTTTGCTCGTTGCTTAATTTAATGCCAGTGGCTATTTCGACGATACATCGAACGGTTTCGGCCGATTGAATGTTAATAGATTTGTACCAGAATTGGGAGCCAGTACCTGTACAAACGCACATACCTGAACTTCGAATTTGATGCGGCTCTTGATCTTCAACTCTGATTTGTAATGTTATTGGTCTGACTGCCAAAAATTCTCCTATAAATACCTAAATTTCACGTAAGAAATATTGGCCATGAATTATCGAATATTCTTATAAATGTCGTATAACGCAGGATTAAAGGAAATTTCGTGCAACTAACTTCGTTCAATGCCAGCCAAGGCAAAGTCCTCTGCCGTGGTTGAAGTGAGTCCGCTATTTTCCTTTGTGTCGTTCGCGCAAGAGCTCTGAGAATTCAATTAACCTTAATTAAAGCGGTTAATGAGATTGATCAATGCTTGGTCGTGTTTTACATTCGTTTCTTCTTGCGTTTCTGCAGGAACGAAGGTGACGAAGGGAAGAACTTCTCGTCGAAGAATAAGAATACGTAAAAACGTATAAAGCGCTTGGTGCTCGGAGAAACGAGCTTATTTAGTTTTAATGGCATTAATGAAGGACGAGCGTGGAAGAGGACGAAGAAATTTTAATGAAGAGTAATGAAGAACGACGTTAATGATGAACTCTCGATGCATTTAGAATAACGAAACTCCAGCGATAGAGTAATTACATTAATATTAAACGTTTTCCTATAAATAGAAAATTCGATCAATATTAACGAATAATTGTTATTAAATTAATTAATAAACTTTTGTTACGTGTCACAATAGGCGAACTCGGTTGTAAAATATCCACAATATATTGATAACTGCGTGTATACAATATAATATTCACGATAACAATTATTAATAACTGGATATCATTTTTCATCGACTTGTATTTTTTTTCAGTAAACTTTCTTTCTCTATGATGCACGAGCAAAGATTTGCGATCGATCTGTACAGATTTATAAATTTTACCTTTACGTTGAGCAACCTTTACAGTGAGCAAATTCGATTATCTAATATTCCTATATGATATAATAATTAAAGATATCAAAGTGACGATAGCATCTAAACAAACTGAATGCAATTTGTCTAGCATTTTTCCGATAAATTGTACAAATAAATAAAAATCCACGATTCTGCTTTTTTCAAACCGTATAAATTACGATTTCTCGTAAAATTCTTGCTATATACAATTAAAAAGTTACGTCTTCTTTGTATAACTCGTAACTACACGGTTATTGTAATTTACAAGTTCTAACTGCCGAAGTTCCGGCGTACAGGAGGTTATAACTTGAAACTACTCGGTAGAGAGGACCTGCCGTGAAATGAAGACGCATTACGGCCTTTATGAAAACGTAGAATCGGCGATACGTACGGCTTACTTAAAACTTAAGAGAATAGATTGCCTGGAGAAAGAACTCCGTTATGCGATTCCTTCAAGGAGCGAGTGAGAGAAAGGTAGCTTGTTGCGGGCATTTTATCGTTTTTACCAACGTAATTTAAGTGTAAGAACCACCGAAGGAACGCGTAAAGTTTAATCTGCAGAATGGGAGCCGAAACAAAGACTCGAAATATAGCGTACGTAACAAATTCACGAGAATAAGAAAATAAATATTCTGTTGCTCGCGTGTTATTCTCTGCCTACGTTTTGTTGCGCACGTTTTATCAACTAATAATATTAGAGGAGTAATAATATTATGATGGAAGTTATGGCTTATAGATTTCTGTTGCATAATTTTAGTACTTCACGTGATTAGATGGAATTGGATGGCTTGCAATTTGTAAAATTGACGTGTAGAGCTGTACCTGATTTATTATCAAACATGTTACCGTGCCATATAAAAGAATTTATCGACGCTACTAATTTGCAACTGGTTGTTTGTAAAACTTCGCTAAAGATAGATATTATATTACTTCAATTGCAATTCTGTTGTAAAATGGACAGAGTAATCTATATCGCTTTGAACAATTCTAGAGTTTGCATATTACAAATTGATAAAAAATGCGTTATGTGAATTTGAAAACGCGGTCGTAGATTTCAAGATGCGATAGAACGGAAATGACAGGAATATTTTGAACATATAGGGCATAATGTAAGTGTGTATGAATTGACAGGAGATTAAAAGTACATCTTGTGAACGAAAGTGGGGAGGAAAGGAAGAAGAGGAATCGAGAGTCTCGAAATAGAAAAATTTCCTGCAGCTACCGCATTGTAAAAGTAACGAATAAAAATGCACATATTGATTTCTGACAGGGTAGAACAAACGCGGATCAGAGAGAATAACTTCTCTATAATGTACCCACTCGGCTCTTTTCTCTCCTTGTGTACGACTCTTCTCGTGTATATGAAAAGGTCGTCTGTAAAGTCCTTCTCCATTCATCACTGTTCGAATGCGACTTCGCATCAATAGCGTGTATTTTCCTGTATGAAGTCGCTCAAATATGCTTTCGATGTTCGTCGCGTATTTCGGAGGAAGCGTAAAAATGTTATTGTCGTTCGATCGGATGCTCGGATTGATGCCCAACACAGGTTTCACGTTGTCTGTAATTAATTTGGAGGATAGCAAAAACGTGCCATCTCCACCTATCGGAATCACCAAATCCGCCCAATTCATAAATTTCCATGCGTCTGCTATCCTGTGCAACGAAATATAAATAATATACATATAACGAAAATTCGAATATTATCGTAACAAATATTATCATAGCTATAATATCGATACTATCATTGTACAATTGTCTTAAGCAAACAACGCGAATTGAAAAGTACCATTCAATATTAAAAAAAAAAGGAACAAAAATATTAATTTGAAAATTTGGTAGAATTTATTTCGATAAGAATATTTTGCTGCAAATTTTTAAAATTACAAAAATCGTAAATTTCTTTTTATAGAAATTAATAGATGATATAATAATTCGAAAATAATGTTTATCGTATCTGCTGAACAGTATTGAAGAAGAAAATTTAATGAATACGAGTGAAGTTAATGAATAAGAGTGAAGCATCGTTTCTTATAATATGACGAACGATGAGATACGAAATGATAAATCTATTCAAACGGTTGTCAATGCGTTAACTACAGAGATAATTAAGCTACTATCTGAAAATATAAAAGTGAGAAATCATAAAGTCATAAAGGGAAAGAGACGCGAACATTTCTGAAGCACCCGCTCCATTTTATCTTTCTTCTTTATATTTGTTGCATACAGGCGTAGCCGTTTCATCGGGCATTAAACTTTATTACGTAATAATTTTTCGCGTTACCTTTTCGTAATAGAAAAATTGATGTTGAGCTTTTTTAAAATCGCTGCTAGATTTTGTTCGCAAGTAATCTGTTGTTGATGCTCGGTGAAAATTTCGTTCGGATCTTTTCCACGTTCTTTCAACATTGACAATATTTGGTCTTCGTTCAGATTGGGGTTCTGTGATCGCAGGAACTCCAACGAGGATAGCTTCGAAACGCAGAGGACTCTACGCGGTCGATAAGGCGTATTGTTTAAACAATTAAAGATTTTCATGATTAATAGCGAAATTATTCTCGAATGGCACAAACTTTGTCGATTTAGGTTAGATTATACGAAAAATATTGAAACCTTTCCGAGCAACGCTCGGTGCAGTCACTTCAGATCAATACTAATTACACGGGAAAATTAGTTCGGTTTCGTTATGATATTAAATATTGAATCAAGAGATTGTTCCGTTGCCGTTGCTTTCAAATCAAATATCCAATGTATTGTGTAATATTTAAACACTGGCGAAGTTTCAACTTTATTGTAACGAATTATCGGCGAGTTTATCCCGTTTATTGAGGGTTGGAAATTTCGTTTCGAGCGCCTTTATAACAACATTATTGCTTGATAAATCCTGGAGTAACCAGACACATTTACCCTTCTCGCTGATGGTTTATTTCGTTACCTAATTCAATTCTATGAAATTGAGTGCTTCGTCCGATTTCTAAAAGCATGTCCGAATATTACGTTTAAATTACGAGTAACATTAGGAAATTATAAACGAAATTAAATTCACACATAACGAAGAAAAGTGACTTTGAAGAAGACAGCCATGTATAAAAATTAAATAATTAATATAATTCCTACAATCTAGTTGCAACGAAAATGGTCAATCTGCATTTTACCGTATAAATTAATATTCAGTATGAATTCATTTTATCTGACGGACAGACGAAGTAGAACGCCAAATATTAAATTGAAACGCGTGATTCTAAATAAATTAATTAAGTTAAAATATATTTACTTACATTTTCCTTCAATTTTTATTTATTACCAATTAAGGATATATAATAATAATATCATTGAATTTGGCATCCACATGATTTCAATCATCGATAAAAAAATTTGCTGATCATCTTTTTTCGTTTAAGCTTCAAAATCTTTCACCATAGTCCTTACAACCGTTCTCGGTTTTCAAACTCGCGTCCTCGTCTCAACTTTGCAAATCACATCGTCTCTCTGCGGTTCCGTAACGTTGCTTCAACTTGCCAGCCAGAGAGTATTCGGTACTGATGACGACGTTGCATCGAGGTATACGTGTTCTTCTCAGGATTACTCACGTGTCCTAAGTGATACTTGGCACTCAGGCGGTGGCAGAGGCCGCGTGTCTTGTACGCTGGCTTCTGGCAAACTTCGGGGCAAAGTTGCTCGAAATTTTCGTCTCAATGGACACTGACCATTAAAGCCACTTAAGGTACCAGGATCTTCTCTTAAGCTCGCTCGTACGGGGATGTTACGCCGGCCACGAAATATTCCTGAACAGCGCGCTGTCGAGATTTTAGCCGAGGGACGCTGAAGAGTTCTCGAGTTTCCTTGAAAGCCATCGTTTTATGAGCTTCGTGACATTTTTACCTCTTCCCTCATATTTCCGGATACGCAGTAACCGCTTGGATTCACCGTTTTTCTCATCGACCTGACCGTGCGATAGTTTTTTCTCTTAGAAAATAACGGGAAAAAGGAGAAGAGAGGAAAAAAGAAGGGAGAAGAAACGAGTTTCCTTGGAGAAAAAATTATAGCGAGGTACAACGCGAGAAAATCGTACCCTCGGTGGCGGCGCATCTTGTACACGGTTTTTGGTCGAGTCGAGGTGGTCTAGTCGAGTTTCCGGTAGCTGGAAGACAGAAGAAGCTCGCGGTAAACTTCGTTGAAGTTTTCGTCTCGAGTATAGCTGACCGCGAAAGCCATTTACGGTACCGGAATGTTCTCTTAAGACCCGTTGTCGCGAAATATCCGAGCGTTTTATATTTTACGAGCCGCAGACTGCTGTTGCAACTTTGCTGCACAACGTCCGCTGTGTTCGTGTATAATATTTCTTTCGCGGGATGTGTGCAATTTCTTCATTGAAGATATATTATTACCGTTTTTATTTCTATTATTACTCCTATGTGTGTAATTATTGTTCTTATACCTATAAAACATTGTTTAAAAATTAAAAAGTAAATAGAAGAAACAAATTTTTATGTACATAAGAAGCAGTGCTAAAACTATTTTAGAGTTGTAAATAATAAATAGATGTACATTTTCTGTAGATGTATCATTTATTTGCAATATTTTAAAAATAAAATGAAAAGAATATAGTCAAAATATCGAGAAAGTATATGAGAAAAATTGCATCGTGTTTAAGCTGATAAAGATAATGTACAGGGTAAAATTACTCTTTGCGATAGTAATTATAATTACTTCTTAGCACGGCCCGAATAACACGTACCTTTTTTTTTCAAAGCAACAAAAATATCACATTTCCTCCCTAGTCTCCTAGCAATTTTCTAAATTTCATGCATATGCAGCGGTAGCGTTTAAAATGCCTTGTTAAAATTGGTACTGCGGGACACGATAATTGTATTTCCCTAGAATTTTTATTACACTCGGCGACATGACAACGAGCCACCCGACAGTAATTACACGTCGTACGCAGGTTTTAGCTTGAAGCGGATGCTCCGGCTCAGAATTTCTGGTACGTTGGCCGTCGACGAACTTTGCAACAAACTTTCACGTTCTTTCCTTCTCCTTGTAGTTGCTGACCACTAGGACCACTTATAATGTCGCGACATCCCTACGGTGAAGAAATTTGTTTAGTCGGAACTTTCAAGCTCGGTCCAAGGAACGCTTCAACTTCTAGTCCCTCCGTCAAAATTATCCTTTCAAAATTATTGCACGCTAGGTAAAACGTAACATGTCGTGCAAATCATTTTTTATTGTTATTGCTGGGATTCACTGGGCTATATTAACGTATTCACTGTGTCACATAATTATGCTTTATGTTAGAGCGTACGTAATTAGTAGGTTAATTAAACCTGGTTCAATTTGGGTTGTTGTTTAAAGTTACAGCGTGTTTTCACGTTGCTTTGTAAAAGTTTCAAAACGATGTTCCAGTCTTGTACTATAAAAATAAACTTCCTTTAAAGAATTTTTACGCTGCGTATTTTTATAGTAAGAAAATAAATAGACGTTGCGAAAGAGATATTAAATGGATATGTGTAACTATCATTTAGTTATTATATCTTACTATATGTATAGTTTTATTATATACAGTTATGTGAAGAAATCTCTATAATATTATATTTGTATTATTATTGAAAAGCAAATAGTGTGATTCCTGTCGTATTCACTTTTTTATTATTTTTTGCAACGTTATTATGAACAGCCGCGGTATTGTGGCATTGTGAACATGAAAATTACGTTGTCGAATAATTACAGTTTTGACCCAGCTTAAATACCATGTCAGCACCACGAGTTAAAAGAGTAACAATAACTAGCAGGAGTGTGACGGAATGTCTGATTTGTAGCTGTGTTGTGGTACATATTCGCGTTGCAAATATTATAGCCACTGTTGCACGGATAGTTCCTTCCACTGGTATTGTAGGCTTTGTCGACATTTAAGTAATATCGACTGCACGCATTGTTACAATTCGGAGAGTACCGCGCGCAAATCTCGAGCGATCTTCCAGTTATCGAGCACCCATAGGTATTATTTATCCTGCCGAGCTGATGGCTTTTGGGGGTCCAACAGTCTGCTGTCGACCAATATTCGTTCGGATTTCTCCATCTGTTCGATAGAACGTGACACCAACTATTGGCAAATGATTCGCAAGAATTTATCTCAGTGGCAGTCGAACAAGTAAATCTTGGACCGTTTCTAAGCATTTCGCATTGCGTCATACAATGGCTGGCCGATGGGCGAACGTTAGCACAGTAAGACAGGTGGCCGCTTATTCTCGCGTTCGAAGAACAGCTTTCGTTCGTTCGAGTACAAATCGCTCTGCGATTCTTCTCAATTCGCGGTCTCTCGAACCAGATAGACGAACAATTCGATATTATCGTTTCTGTTTCAAATATATTCCTGCGTGGTTTCCGCGAATTCGTGTCGGTTTCTTTATCAACAGGAAGCGAATCCGCTGGGCCAACACAGACACTTCGCCTTTCATTCCATTTTTTATTTTGTTTTTCGAGAACTTTGTCGTCTTCCTCCTCCGATTCCTGCACCGTCGATAAGCACTTCTTACATGCAAGCTCCTCTTGCAACATTGAAATCGTAGACGTCGTGACTATTTCTAGATCGTCGTTCTGTTCTTCCGATTTCAAGGACACCGTGTCTTCGGTTTGCGAACATTCGGCTATGGTTATATTTGGACACGTTTCTTGACACATAGGACCGCCGAATTGCGTTTTGATCACCTCAATTGGTATACACGGAATCGTCGCTACTAGACGAAACAAACGAACGTCTTCACCTTTGCCGTTCTTCTGGAAAGATTGGTGGAATTGGTCTGAGGAGATTTTTCGCTGACAGCTTTCGGGAAAATCCGATTGTGTTACGTTCACGCCTTTGCATCTGTACGCGCGAAGTATCGCACATTGGTTCCCGTAATACTCTGGTACGATCGTTCCAGGTTCTGGTTCTGTTTCTTCGTCGGCTTGTAACGAGGACGGCAGATCCGTCATGGAATATATTTCCGTGGTTATTTGTATATCATCGGTTTCGATGCGTAATTCAGTCGAAGCGTCTTTAGTTCTACTCTTCATCTCGTAATTCGATCCTTGACAGTATTCTATTTCTGACCTTAGCAAGGATGTGTTTCCATGTTCTTTTAATTTCTTTATCGAACTTTCTTCATTGTCAGTGGAACTGTGTTTGGACTTAAAAATGGTATTCGTAGCCATTATTATTGTATTTTATAGTAATTTTGTTTGCAAGAACCGTTTCTTTGTTATTCTTGTATCTTTGAAGGAGCGTTAAATAAGATAGATTATACCTGATATCTAGCTTTCCTGTAATCTTTAAATGACATTTTTCTTCTGATACATGTTATTACGTTATTTGTAAGGATATTTATTTAAATACATTTTTTAAAGTTTTGCTAAGTAACCACTTTTTGGGGTCAAGCATCGTTCAAAATGATAATTTGTACTGGTAGCTTCACAAAGATGTTCGGCGTATCTCTTGGCTATAAGCTTCGTTAACTGTAAACATGATGAATTACACTTACGATTTATCATGTGTGTCGTATGTTCCAAGTTTTAAGGTTATAAAAAATTATGTCATTTATCCATAAAGAACTTGAATATGTTTACAGTGCTGTTCCATCTATGTAATGAATACAGGAATTAATTATAGCTCTTTATTGTTGCACTACATCTGATACTTTTCTCATCCTATAGAGGTAGCTTAATATTATGCTTGAATTATTTCAAGGTGAACGATAGGATACAGATATAATAGTAAGTAATAGTAAGATATAATATTTCTAGAATTATAAATATGAATATAACAAAAAATAAAATTTGTATGTCATCAAGACATTTTACAATTAGATAAGGAATTATCGACTAAAATTTACAAGCTTCAACAAGTTATTCAAACGGAATATCCAAAAACAATATCCAACTGATCCTTTCATAATCTTACTCTACACTTTCACAACACAATAACTACATATATATATATATATATATATCAAAAGACTTCTTACCACTGATTGAATCATCGCCTCTTCTTTCCGCAAGGTCCGCACACATGATTCGTCCCTAAAAACCCGAAAACCTTTATTCGAATCAACCATACTCCGTATAAGATCTATATTTCAATAGATAAATTTGTAGACATGGCACCGTTGGTCGTGTTGTTTTCATTCTCTGGCGAATAATTTGTTTCGGTCCTCTCATAAGTCGCGTGGTTGACCGACGCGTACATCGATGAATCGTATGTACCCCTCGATGTCAACGTTCGACGGTACACGGATGGACTAACGGTAACTCGTCTTATTCGTCTCTGATGATCGTAGTTGTCATATCTCGGAGACTGTCCTTCAGTGGCCGCCACCTGTATAGAATATTCAATTTCATCGTTCCGTTTTGTCTGACCATTAATTTCCACCCCTGCCTCCGGTGTAACCACGTTCAATGAATATTCAGCGGAATTCATCCGTTGATTGGTTACGACGGAAGCAAGACGCAAGCTTGTACTCGTACTTCGCTACCGTTCGAATCTGACGATTGTTCTTCATCCTCGCCATTTCCATCCAGGTTCGAGTGCAATTTAATACTCATCAGTACCTGCCGCTTTTTGTTGCCTACTTGAAACTCGGACAAGATCTGCGTCAGAATCGTGTTCGACGTTTGCATCTGCACGCTCACGTACATTTTCTTCCCGTTAAAATCTCTCGAGAACTCGATCGGTGCAGCACGATTGTCGACATCGGTCACCTCGTCGATTATTGGCTCTACGATCAATTCTTCTTCAGGTTTCTTTGGCGTGTCCATGGCAGTTTCGTCTATCGTAGATTCATCTGGTATGGGAACTTCGGCTGTTTCAATGGGCGTTACATTAGAAGTTTCTAAAACTTCAGAGTTTCTCGCGGGTGCTTCTTCTATGGATGATTCTGCTGTGGTTGTTTCAATCGCAGGTGTGTCTGTATGTGTTGTTTCGCTGTCTGTAGGACCATCGGTTGGATCTACGGTCGTTTCATCCTCGTCTATAAGTGGCGTTTCTGCAGATGACTCAACCAAACGTACATTCTCCTCCACAGGTTCTTCAATATTTGGTTCTTCATCAGGTGCGTCCACAGTCGCATCAGGTACGTCCACAGTTGCATCAGGTACGTCCACAGTCGCATCAGGTACGTCCACAGTCGCATCAGGTACGTCCACAGTTGCATCAGGCACGTCCACAGTTGCATCAGGTGCGTCCATAGTTACATCAGTTGCAGGAGGACTTTCTTCTCCGATTTGAGAAATTTTGGATGGTGGTTTATCTGGGCGTACCATTCCTTTCTTCGGGATGCACGAACAAAGATCTGCTACCGGACCAGTCACCTCCGGCACAGTTGAACATATTATACGCACTTCCCTGATCAGCGTACATTGGACACCTTTTCCGATCACCGTGGATTTTGATCTCATTCTTTCTTGCTTTACTATGTCTCTTTGTACATCTTTTCTTGGAGTCGATACTCCTGTTCTAGCATTGACTTCCGGTCTCCCAGGCGTGAATGGTTGTCTTTGATTCAGAGACGTGGGTGCCTGTTTTGGCGTTATAGGGTTCGGCGAAGGTTTCTTTTTTGACGAAGTAGCTAATTTTCTCGGTGTTTTCATGTTTTCTTTAGGACAAGGATGCAATGTGGATTCCATTTCTTGAATCCTAGGACACTCTTTTCTTTGAGGAGGCACCCTACTTTCATCTGCATACGGTTCTAATCGGTTCGTGGTTCTTATTCTCTTGCGATACTCTATACTTTCTGTGATGTAAGGAGCAGTCGTAGGATCGAGTACCGCGCGAATGGAATTCGCTTGAACGCTCACGTCTAGTTGTATGTTAGTTCTATCCGTTTGTTGGTCTTGAGGAGTAAATTGACTCGTCGGCTGATTTTGTTGCTTAGTTACTTGACTTCTCGTAGTGTTATTTTCGCGATTGCACACGCCCGATGGTTCACCGCGCTTGTTCAGAGTCGGCTGTTTTTTCTGTTGATTGGAAGTATCGCCACCACCCTTTTTGCGAACGCTACCGTATTTGGGATACGGTATTTCTTTAGGAGCTGCTTCGTTAGGAGAATATACGTTTCTGTGAACGTTTCTGCTAAGATCAAAATAGCACTCCCTCTCTGATTGAATCTGTTCTTGCGTGTCGCAGTTAGGTTTCCAATAATCATCTGAAGACAGGTGATAAACTTTAGAGGCAAATATAACTGGGATTAATTAGAGACTTTGTGTAAAAAATGATCGAATAAATGTAGAAATACGAAATATTCGGATTTATAGAAGGAACTATTTATTTCATGTAATAGTTACAAGATAGTTTGTCATATATTGTTAGTATTCCATCGCATTAGAAGTGTTAGGAGAATTTAACCCTCACACTGCATCCCTGGGCGATTCGCGTCCGTGTCATTTCTTCTTTTTCTTGGAACTGCAACGAGCGGTTACAGATTCCGTTTTACGTGTACCCTAAAAAAATTTGCCAGCTATGGAGACTGCGAGATGTCAAATTCATACAGAAAATATGAAAAAATAATTGATCGTATAATTAACAGAAATCCGACACGAGACGTTCTAGTACATGCAGTGTGAGGGTAATGCAAAAGTATTTTAAGGGACAGGCGTACTTTGACACATAGGTGTTTGACATTCAGGCAATCCAGCGAGGCCGTCGCAACAGACATTTCCACAGCAATGCATATCGCAGTTGTTTGATTCCTGTCCTATTATTCCTTGCCAACACGTCCCTTCGTACATGCATTCGTTGTACATTTTCGATTGATTGCATTGGTTGGCACATGTATTTTCTTCGCAATTTTTCATGCATGTTCCACACGTGGAACGATCCTTCGTGCTCTTCTTCGAACGTTTCAATTTCGAAGATTGTTTCACAATCTGGCCAACACTCGTCGTCACCATTTTGACGAAACATTTATACGTTTCCTGTACCTGTTTTCGGATATCGCTCAATAAGGAACGTTCGTCTGTTTCGCATTGCTGACTACAACCAGTTGTCTTTCTCTTGATGTACATGTCACTTTCCGTTTGCGCTCTAGAAAATGGTTAGAAAATCATTTAAATGCATTACACTATAAGTATTACAATGTAAGTACTATAAGTAATGATTGAATATATTCAAATATTTCTGCAGAATAAGTACTCTTCTATCGCGTTTCGATTTGTCTAAATTGGAATCACAGTCTATTTAATTTTGGTCAAAAATCGATAGAATCAAGAATTTTAAACTATCACAGTTCAAGTGTTTTGACCGTAAAAAATACTGAATAATAATATATCTCAACATTTCGATAATCAATTGATAAATTAATTTCCACGGAATCTAGTTATGATTAATAATTAGACTCCATTTACACTTAAAATCCTCGAATTATTACAAGTGAAAGGGTTGCTCCAAGAGGAAGATCGAACGTATAATATAAATTCATAATTAACTACTAATCGTAATAACAAGCTTTTACACTTTTCAATAGATAAATAAATAATAAATACAACGTAAATATCGAAATTGCTCCGTTATCGTTGTAAAGGTTTTAATTACAGTGAAAAATTATGTTTTCCTACGTTGTTGCAAACTGTTAGAATAATCCTACGTATCCTATATAATCCTAGTATAAATTCTACGGTAAGTTGCATCAATATTATACAATCTGAAACACGAACAAACTCACTTGCAATCACGTAGATCCTGAAAACTCACGTTTGACTGCACGATGCCTATCATCTCAGGGCTGAACGGTTCCTCGGGCATCTGTTCGATCGTGTAATCATCAAGATACACGCTCATGCTCGCGATTCTATCCGAACAGGTGCGTTCCACGGCACCTGGCCGACCTTTACAACTGGAACTGCATTTCGGCTCGCTCTTCTTCGATTTACTACGACACCTCAACAAGTCAGACTTGTTCCTTTTTACGGCGCTGTATTCTTTCCTCGGAGCGTCGTCTTTCAATAATCCCATCGAATCGTCGCATTGAAACGCTTGGACGGAAGTCAGGTTGCTCACGTTTGCCACGCTTTCCCCAATTTCCACGAACAAACTCGCTTTGGACGGTGTGCACTTTCTCGAGCAGAACGAACACGAAGAATGATCAGTTCTCGCGCAATTTTCATTTCCTGCGAAATGGACGCGCTGCAGACACTGTTTGCTGGACGTGTGACAATCGTCGGGAGGGAAATCGCATTTTGGCTCGTTCTCTTCGTGAACTACGCAAGGTTGTTGAGAATTCACATCGAGAGGGCAGTAACAATCGTCGAAGCACTCGGTTTTAGGAGAGAAATCCGTGTTCTGCCACTTTTTACACGAGCCACAGTCGTCGTCCTGTCTTTTCACAGCGTAGGGTTCGCAGTTCCCGCAACAGTTCTCAAAGGTGCAACGGTAGTTCTGACGGTTTCCAGCAATTTGTTTGCTCCTAGGTTTAATTGGAAGCGAACTTTTTCTATTGAGAATAAACTTTTTCTTGGTTTTAGGTTGTGAGATAACCGCCGTGTTCTTACTTTTTACCGGCTTTTGGTTTGCTCCTGGAAAAAAATCTTCTTCGTTTCTGATCAGATCTTTGATTGGTGCTGTAATACAGTACGTGTTTCTTCGTGTGAAGTATTTGAGTACGATCTTAGTATAGTATTATGAAGATTTTTTATGTCAAAAGAAGTGAAACGTGTAAAAAAGAGCTTTCCTGTTGTATCGTCAATTTCTGTCATTTTAGAAATGTTCGGATATATACAGAATTAAAAGCACAACTATGAAAATAATTTTAGCTACATTAACAATCATACGAACAATTTAAATAACATAGATAATTAACTAGAAAGAATAGGAAAGAAAATCGCTGCATCTTATGCCATGTATCGCAGAAAAATATTACTCCACATTATCTCATTGTCATAATTACCACGCTAAAATAATGTACTCACTTGTTATAGCAGTGTTTAAAAGAAACGTTGTACACCGGTTTTTCCATTCCAACATTTTCACACGTTGGTTGTCGCGAGACAACGCTGATGTTTATTCCGCTTTTGCAGTTTCTGTACGCATCATTAGCTCCATTTGCATCGTATTCAATCACGCTGTTCCCATAATTATCATAAGACAGATTTGGATTTTCATGTTGGCAAATATTTTCACCCGTGAAATTGCTCGTGTTTCTATCGGGACAGCTTCCCTGGTAGCTCGAATCTTTTCTGTGTTCGTACATTTCCGCGTAATTTTCTCTCTGCTGGTTCCCCCTTCGATATTGCTGATTTCGGTGGAAATCCCGTTCGCCACCGTTTTTCACCGACTCGTTCGATCTTATCGGACCGGTTCCTTGCTTCCTTTTCTTCTCGTTTGTCAGCTGCTGAATTTTTTCGATGTCGTTGTCGTCGAATGTGCCCTGCCGCGATTCTTCCGATCGATTTCGTTGTTCGTCGGCGCAAACGTTCCCGTTGAAATCCATCAAGCGGTTGCCCCGCGCTGAAATCTACCGGCATGCAGCACGTTTATTTCGAGCGGGTGTGCGATTACCGAACGGCTGGACGATCATAGTGTATTACCGGTATTATTGACGTAGGCCAAAGGGCACGTACAAATGGCCGGTAATCTCTGAAATAAATTAATCACGGTCGATCGAGATCACAGACTGGAGAATGCTTGTGGTGGATAGGCTAAGGGTGGTTCGCTTTTTAGCGCATTATTATCAATCTGCGACGGTCACGCTGCTTTGCCACGTTCACTCTATGGGTTCATTGTGTCCGGTAAAATGCGTAATGCGCACTCTGCAAACGTTTATGTGCGTTTAACGTCAGACATGATGAAATATACGTATAAGGTAGATTTCTGATTATTAAGCGAGTTGTTTGTCGCTGTCTACAGTACGAGTTATTTTTACACATAGCGAGCTGTAAACCATGACGGTGTTAGTCAAGATTTTGTGGATTTGTATTTAGTAGAGTTGAAAACATCGTATCTTTAATTTCATAATCGATTAGGCTATAACTTTATTCTTTGTTGACGGTACGTTTTCGTGACCTAAATAGAAAAATATGATCAACTGTTTACAATAATAAACGTAGGATATTATTTCATGAAGATTAGCAGTAGACAAGCAATACACCACTATGATTCTCAATCTACGATGGAATTATTTTATTATATAGTTTGGTACTTAAATGTCTCACAACAGATGTCGTATATTGTCTCATTTTTTAAACATATTTGCACTATCACATTCCTTAAAGCGTGTGCATTCATTTACTTGTATAATTATTTATTCCAAAATTATAACAATTAAAATATACCTATATATTTCAGTAATAATATATTTAAAAGGCAAGAAGATGGCACAGATATTTTAGATTGTATAGACTATTCAGACAAAAACTTAGAATTTTCTTTGGAACAACTTTGAACATACATTAATTATCAAAGAAATAATAACATGTTTCGCAATGTTTCGTCAAATAGTTTCTGACATAAACCCAATCCGAATGCTTTTTCAACCACGCATCTCTCACACTCCATTTAACTCGCTTAACTCATGCAAATAGTTCGTTCACCAGAAAAATACATTTCCAAATGCTGAGTATCAAACTATCTGTAGCTGTAATAAAATTTTACACGAATGTTCACAATCCTCTGTGTGTATGACGGCAATGTAGGAAACGAATGTCCACGTGGCCCAGTAATACCAAAAGTTCGCGACGATGCGATGGTCCAGTTAGTCACATTGTCGAAGCAGCGAAAGGTAACGTTTACTTTGGAACTTGTACAATTTGGAATTTTCCGGGGTTAGTTGTCATTGCCGAATCGAGGGAGGCCGAAGGTTTGGTTATGAGAGATCGGGAAACATTCGCGACTGTTATCGTGAGGCGCAGTTATCGCACGATGTATTTTTACGCTCGCGAGCGCTCGCGCGTGCGTGCGTTCCCGCGTCGCAGAATATTCAAAGGACACCGAAAACAAACGTGGCGCACGACCAAAAATATATTCCATATTTTTATAGCACGTTCAATAAATATTTTGAATGTCTACCCATCCGCAAGCTTAAAAGAAGAATTCTATGAATATTTGTCAAATATTGCGAACATCATGGCTGCGATATATGTATCGCGTGTTCACGATGAACGCGGCCGCGTGATATGAATACGTTATATTCGGTGCATCGAAAAACGCTCGGATTACCATGGAAATTACCGTCTGTACGAATGTAATTAATGCCTGTGCGTATTTTGCCACCGATATGTAATGATAAATATGGCGCGCATAACGCGACATTGCGCTTTCGCGAAACTGCGATTCTGTTTAGAAAACACGGTAGAAAATGAAGAATAGAGATGGGAACGATACTTTTCAATGGTAAATATACGAAAGTTTTATGTAACAATATTTTTAACATTCGTTCGAATAAAACTGATGGTAATTTTTTATAATTTCCATATCTTCAAACTGAGGAATTTCAATTCATAAAATTTGTTATTTGTTGTATTAAAAATTCGAATTGCAAAAAATTTGAACAACGTTACCAGTTATTTGAATCCGTTTCCGATTATTTTTCGATATTTCTTATTTTAAGTATACTTTCTTTTAATAATCAGGGAGAGTGTGAGTGAAGCAATGAAATTTAAGTTAAATGCCCCTGATTTGAATTCCGGTTCTGATTAATTTCTAATTAAACTGTAGTTAAATGAGACAGATTTTGATAGATCGATGAAAAGCACGCGACGAATAATCTTCTGGGAAAAGATCATGGAAAATGCAACAGGCAAGAAACCGCTCGTGACTCCTGAAATGCAAGTTGGTTTCCTCGTGTACACCATCCTCGTACATTACGCGTTCTCGTATTTCCTTCAATAAACATAGCTACTACATGATAGAACGTACACCAATTGAACAATATATATCCTCAAAACTATAGATTTATCCAGTGAAAAATATAAGTATATCTACGCTTCTCTCCACGGTATTAATGCAAACATGTATTCATTACATACTTCATTTGACGTTTTACATCAGTGAAAAGGACAATGATTCGCCGACATAATTATTTCAGTAAGATTTAAACACATTAATACAAATACGTGTATAATACAATTAGCTCGATAAATTCCATTTTTAACAATATCAATAACGTCTATAAATTAAGACAAAAGCCATGTCTTAATTGTCAACTTACCTTTTATAGTTTTATACTTTTCACATTTTAATCAAAATATACACTTTCATTGTAAGTAAAGTATATATCTTGCACCAGAGCGGATACAATTCTAAAGAGACCATTGCCGTTTCTTTAATCGCGTAGAACGCGTGGTTTCTTTTTCTCCATTGTATCCGTGATTCTTTTCTCTTTAATCCTTGTGTTTTTTTTTCCTTCTGTCTTTCTCCAACGATGAATTCGACGATGTTACCATGGCCACAATTTCTCGGCACACAAAAGCCTCGGGTACAGAAAACGCGCACACCGAATGAAACAGCGAAGCGAGTGGCACACCGGTACACGCATGGTCGCATTGTCGCGCAAATTGGAAAAGGAAATAAATCATTGAAGGGACTTAAACGTTCGCGGCTTGAACGTTTACTGTTGGCCTGCGTCGACGAGCGTGGAAATAATAGTGGCGTTCGCTTCTAATTAAACTGGCCGATGCACGGATGCACGCGAGCCGGCCGCTTAAAAAATTTACATCGACAACGAGGTCCCTGTTGTGCTCTCCTCCGCCTCTGTTTCGTTTTCTCGCGTGTATATGCGCGAGCGCGCGCGCGCTCTCACGCGACCTCGAACGAGCGCTGCGTCGCGAACAATACTGAATATTTCACTGTAACGAAGGGTCATGGTTCTCGCGTCTACGGGTCTCAACGTATCGACAAAGGTGAATTTTTGCGTTCATTATAATTTTGCATTGTTTACCGGCGGATAATTCCACTCCGACGAAGAACATGGTCGCTCACGGTTCGGGAGAACCAGCCGGATTGTAATTTACGGCTTTCAGGTTTAATTCGCCGCCGCTGCAGTCTTGCTCCAACAGCAGCTTGTTGGCGTTGTTGTTGTTATTCTTTCTCTACGTTTGAAAGTGAGTTCCTCTGTTTTAATAGAGAAATTGAAATAGCGGCTCCGCTGTGTGGCTCACGAGAGCAACGAGCAAAACGAACATTGAGTTTAAATTAGCTGATTCTTTTTCGCAGATCGAACTGTGTATGAGTACTGTGCGTTTCTTTTTATAATTCTGTTACTCTGCGTTCTTGTATTTTGTTACGGCAATGATAGATACATATCGTGTTCCTGATTTGAAAACGAAACGAGACTCGAAATTTCTGGATCAAATTTATGAGGAAGAAAAATAATTGTTATAAAGTAGGATCGAATGTACGCATCGTAATAACTCAATGACCGCATTTGCAACAAGAGTACGTAATTAATAATTCAAATTGATGCTGTATTTAGTAATGTACGTTCTACGTGAAATTTAATTTAATATGCTACTTTTATTCGTGTATAGAGTAGTTCTTGGAACAGCAATTAAACGAACAGCTTATCAAGTATCAGATGCAAAAAGATCGATCTTGAATATATCCACACCGCTTCCCTGTTCCATTCTATCTGTCTCTATTTTACATCAATCTTTTAGCAGCGTGTAACGGTCGTAAGTGCAAAATTTTTATAAAAGAGGTGTTTGGAGAAATTGTTCCATTGACAACACAAGATTTCCCTCCACGTAATTAGATCTTTGTACGTCTTCAAACGAATAGAGTTCTTCGTTACGATACCCAATAATTTTCTAACAAATAAGCCATAAACGTCGAATGCTCATCTAGTTTCTCACAAAATTTTCAAATATACGCAAAGCAAAAAATACATTACCCAATAAATAATACAAAAACGACATTTCAAATAGCAATTATTTCTCGCTCAACAATCCCTATTAAACGATGCACTTTCAAATTAAAAATCTTTCACATGTCCATTGTTCGGTAGACGATGACAATATCATTGGAGGTGTCGTTCTCTTCGAGACGAGTTCACATGACGGATCACACTTGACGAATCTGCCGACGAAACATAGCTTCGTAAGCCATGCAAAAAAGCGTGCAGTCTGGCAGATCTGTAGGGGTTGAGGTGGTTAGCTGTCGCGTATAGTGATGGATGTCTGGAGGTTAAAATTTTGTAGAATTTCTACCGCATCCTGCTTCGTCCTCCCTTCATCGCGAACACCCTTCCCTTCTGCTCTCTCGTATATTTGTGAATCTATCTCCTAGTACATTTACACCCTTCGAGGTGGCCTAACTCACGCGTGGGGTTGGTTAGGCTTCGAGGGAAAAGGGTCACGCATCGCAGAAAGGAGCAGACGTTCCGTCCCCGCTTTTCCTTCTCTCATCTTTATCCTTTACCCCCCCCTTCCCCTCTTTGCATCTCTGTTATTCTTTTTCCCTTTTTCAGGTACACTTTTTCTTTCCTTTTCATTCGCGTCGTTTCATCTCTTCGTTCAACCAACGAGAGTCTACGAGCATCTTTCTTAAAAAAAAAAGTAAGCCATAAAATTGTATTCCACGTTTTTCGCAAAAAGGGGAAGGATCAAGCAACCCCCGCGAAAACGGGGAGGATCCCCCATGTATTTTGTAAAGGTAATCCGTGGGTGCTTTTCATCTGCGGAATGAAACGTCTCGAGAGGACGGGGAAGCACCGGAAGCCGGATAAATTTCATCCTGCAGGTGCAGAGCCGACGGAAGTTCTGCATCTGAAACGCGAGAACCTTTGCTTATACTTTTATTCCGTGTATAATGTGTAATTCAACCGGTTCGGATGCAAGGAACCCGTAACACAGAACGCAGCTTAAAACTTTATGGTCGTCTTACAGTTTAATGACGTCCTAATGTATGTTGAACTCTGGATAGCTATCTACTAGTGAGTATTAATTCCATATTTTGGAAATGACAGTGTCTAGACGGAGATACGTAAATGATTCAAGTCTAGTTAGAATGATAGTTATCAATTTTTATTCAAAGGAACTCTGTAATAATATGAATATCTCTAATATCAAAATTATTTCTCGTTTAAATCTAGTTTCAACCAAACTCAAATTATGTATAAAATAAATTATACCAAAAAGTGCAATTTTCCACGCTAATTTATAAAACCCATTAATATAAAAAACATGAAAAATGCCAGGACGCAATAGTGATACGTTAATGTTACACGAAGAAGTTACTATTTATGAGTACGTCACTCTGGCAATTTTTTAAATAAATATACGCCATAAAATTCCACGAAACCACTATAATAATCAAGATTTCTCGTTTTCGCAAACATATTCCCTCTATGAAGAAGAAATTAAAATCCATCGAGAAAACGTTCGAGTGTTCTTTCGGTAAGCCGCGCTGCACTCGATTTAATCAACGACCGATCGATCTCACCTCGCGTATTGAATCACGCCAGTACGTGCTGATACGCGCAGATACTGTATGCATATGTATGGGTACGCTTAAGGGTACGCATTTGTCTTAACGCAACGCGTAAGGGAAAAGCCCGGAGATGCGCATGATACACCGTAGAGTGGGGCTCTTGAGACACCAGACACCCTCTCGCTGTCTGGTCACACGGCAACCCTTTTTAAGTGGCGAGTATTATGTCACTCTTGTGCTTTAATAGACACCTACGCTTCTGCCCTGCCCTGCCCCTAGTCTACGTGTTCAGACTGCGTGCAAAAATGCTTCCCTTTGCGAGCCGAAAAATAAAACGCGGCTCGGAAGGGGCGAGACGCGCCGGAGGATGTCGCGCCTCCTTTCTATTATGAAAGATACCGAGGACCCCTGCTTGCCGTTTTCAGTTACCTTCCATAACGCTTTTTTAGCGGCGGCACACCTGGGGACACGTAAGTCTGCGCACTGTTTTCTTTTTTTCCACCGCGTCGTTTGACGTTCAACACCATAGAAAGGATGGCTCCTAGCCGCCAGCAAACACAGCGGAAAACAATTCCGGACTATTCAACTTTCGACTGCAATGTCCTTAGTTTATTTCGACGGAGGTTTTTGAAGGCAGCGCAACATTTTTAAAATCGTAACAGTTTCAGTAACTTTAAGTTTTGGTAATTTAAGATTTTATTTAACAGTCGCGGTATATATTGGGATAGTTTTACGTTTACAAAGAAAACAAGGCTCATAACACGGAGATACACGTGGTTCGAAATAATAAACTAGAAATTTTAATCTTTAGAATCATATTTATATTTGCTTTAGTTGATCGGTGGGTGTACTATTTAGACATTTTCCGATGCGTGTAACAGGTTGTTCGTTATAATAATATTGTTGGACGTATCACAGACGTCTGTTACCTCGAGCAAGCTTCTTGTTACCAAAAAAGATTAAAACTCACCATAAAAACAGACCACGTTGTGTCCGTAAAAAAATCTGAATATTCATGAACCCTTCATAAATTAATCTTAATTTAAGCAAGCGAATCATAATTAAATACGAGTCGCAATAAAACCCGCATTTTCCTCTCTATCTTAAACGATTTACGCGATTAAAGGCGGAGAAAGAGGTAAAACAAATTGATACGGAAAGACGAATCATGTAGGAGGGTAAAGTAGAGAAGAACTCTTGGAACGGTCGGCTGCACCAGCCTCAATTACGCGGTCCTACGTAAAATGTGCAATTTTCATCGTGCCTTGGGAGGACAGTTTTTGGGAAGGGGGTATGTGCTGCACCGACACAGAGAAGAGGGATTTAATACCGCAATTTGAATGATACGGTGGTGGGTGCCGCGTAACTGCGGGGGTGGGAAAGTGGCAGGCAGAGAGGCAAGAGAGAAAGTGGACTGAGGTGAGTAAGCTGCAGACAGGGTGGAGAGATAGATAATCAAGGCCAGACTGGAGGCCAGCCAGACATGTTAACCAATCAATCGCGTACGTAGCTAGGCTATACCATCGATGGTCGTACATGCGGGGTGATTCTGGTGTGTACGGGGGTTTGCCGGTACGGCGGATGGAGATCGGAGGCTGGGTGGTGGAAGCTCGATGCTCAGGCAATTACCTAGACCCGATCTAGCCACAGTCCCTCGAGCGTAATCACCAACACGTGCTGCTATTAGGCGTGCACGTGATCGATGTGTTGGACTCCCTGGAAAACCGGCAGTCTGCCGGGATCGGTCAGATTTTATCCGAGGGACAAGAGACACACGCGTCTCGTATCGCAACCCGCTTCTGTCCTACCTTTGCCTTTTACTCTTTTGGTTTTTCTGTTTGACGTCAAGATCGAAGACTGATGTTAAAATATAGATACCATATTCTATACTTTTTGTGACCAATTAACGATGATGGTTTGTAGTTTGTTAGATTTTATTTTTAAGCAATGCGAATGATTGTATATCTTCTTTTCTATTCTATTTATATCGGTAGCGTGCGGGGCAAAAGATTTATGATCGAGTAGCAATTAACGTTTGAATTTCATATTTTCGTTTTGACCGAGTGAAATTGGAACGATGAAAGGGATCGAGATAGAAAGCAAAAAAAGGGGTGTAAAAATTGGGAAAATAGAAGAGGTACGTTTAACGAGGTGAACGGACCCTCGTTTTCTCGCATCGACGGGGAAAAGCGTAGCTTTTTTTCAACCGAGTGACACACATTTAACACATATATTCAATTAGCGTGTAGCGATTGCTCGGTGTGTTTGACACTCAGGGGGCTGTAACGATTCAACAATTTCCTGGGGGCTAACGCGGATACTATTTGGCGATCTCCCAATTGCGATACGCGTATTTTCAAACTTTCCTATCGTTTTCGAGTGAAATTCAGCGTA